GGGACACTGAGACGAGCCATCACTACCCCATAGGAGCCCTGGCCCCTCTGAGCAGCACAAAGCAGCAACAGTACCCACTTCATCACCAGGCAAAATGGTGACCTGTGTCCTATGTCCCCAGCTGGCAGGGTTCAAATGGAACTAGGACTAGCAGCAGCTCCCTGGTCCTCTTTAGGACTCACACCACCCTGTGAGGGCCCAGCAAGGCTCTGGGCTGAGGGTTAAGGACTCCATGAGGTAGACAGACCCCATGCTGGGCACAGGGCCCCAGGCACCACCACAAGAAACACAGGTTCCAGCCCTGCAACAGCAGCTCACAGCAGCCCTCTGCAGGGGGCACAGCACAGAGGCCTGAGACCCGCATCCCCCAAAAGCAGTGGGACGCTGACAGGGAGGGGGCCGGTACTGATGTGGCGGCTGAAAGCCAAGCCTTCCTCCAGCTCCCTGAAGGAGACACAACAGAAGCAGTAGGTCCAGGAAAGGAAATGCAGGACCTCCTACAGGGCTCCTAGACAATGGCCCAAGGTCAAGGTTGGCTGTGTTTTCTCAATTTGGGGACCCATGGCCGGCTCAAAGGTGGCAGCAAGTAGGAGTGGGTGTCCTGAGCCACATGGGACAGCATCAGTCCAGCAACCCAGGTAGCCAAGAAGAACAAGGAAGTCACAAGAGCTCAACACCAAGAGGAGGAGGGGACAGGCTGCGCTGACCCCACAGGAGGTAGCAAAGGGCTGCCACCATGCCACACTGGGCACCTCTTCACCACCATACTGTGGCCACGCCAGGCCCCTCATCACTACACCGTGCCATGCCAGGCACCTCCTCATCACTGTGCTGTGGCCACGCCACACTCGACCTTACCACCCCCCAGTAGAAGGTCCAGCCAATGCCCAGGTGGGACCCAGACCTGCCCCCAGAGCAGCCCAGCTCTCCACAGCGGGTGGTGGCCACTCCCAGAGCTGACAGAGAGCTCCAAGCTACCCCGCACAGTCTGACAGGACGGGGGTCTGTGAGGGACCAGAACCGGCCAGAGACAGCCACGGGAACAAGGGAGGTGTGAGAGGGAATGAGGACAGGGGGTTCCAGGGGCATTTCCCTCCCTTCCTCGCTACTGTTATGTGTTCTGATATGAAGAATAAAAGTTCAGGGCCGAGCCCTGGCGCACTCGGGAGAGTGTGGCGCTGGGAGTGCAGCAGCGCTCCCGCCACGGGTTCAGATCCTATATAGGGATGGCCGGTGCGCTCACAGTGAGCGCAGTGCGGCCGGTCTCAAAAAGGACAAAAAAAAAAAAGAAGAATAAAAGTTCACTCAAAAGAAAAATGGTAGGGCTCCCCCCGACCC